GTAATGCATTTGCTAGTCCAAAATGAAAAGCTAGATCATTCATTCCTTGAATACCTGTTTTGGGGAGGAATAACATTTTCACAGAAATCACTTCTAAGTGTTGATAAGTGTCCTCCTGTTTGTTCTTTTCAGTGGAAAGGAATGGTATGGAATCAGCCATTTTTCTCCAAGTTTTACAGCTGGGAAAAAAAAAAAAAAAAAAGTGTAAAAGCAAGGGTTGGAGCTCTTTAGAAAGGAGGCAAGGTACCTGTAAGCAAGAAAAGTACTTTGTGCTCTGATGAGCACATCTCTGGTGTGTGTGTGTGCTGTTCACGTAGACAAGTGGGCAGCTTCCACAAGGGGGTGTCTGAACGCCCTTCTTAGTAAAGGGAGCCCAAAATTGCATTTCTGTCCATTATTTATACGGAACCCTTGGCTAAGGTTCACATTGGAAGGGTCCCTAAGAAAATTTGTTGTTTCATCTTGGTAGGAATTTTGGTAGGAATTCCTGAGAAGTATGTAATATCAAATAACGGCAGCAGTTGCAAGGCTTTTTTTTTTTTTTTTTTTTGGCTTATTAACTTTCACATGGAAAGTCAAAGCCTGATTATCTTTGAGCAACCTAAAGTGATCATAGCTGTAGGAAACAAATGAAAGAATGAATTTAGTGATGTAAAAACCAATGGGCTATATTGAATAAGAAAAAGAGCTAGCAGATTTTCTTCTTGCAAGATGCACCACTAACGTAAAAAAAACTTATATTTGTATATAATGATAATAAAAGAGGGAAGATATTTGTATTTAGCTCCATTTTATGTACTCTTTTGACATTATGAACTGTTCTGCCTCTTACAGAGGTTGTGTAAGGATGGAGTTCTCTATGAAGAACAATCACCAAATCCACAAACTACTTTTTAATCTATGTTGATCCTGGCAGCAGTCTTTGGCAAAACTTAAAGTAACAGCAGCATCTTAGAGAAGATTGGTGTGATTTCTTATGATGTAGCAGGGTAAGAAAATGATTCAGTTGGGTAAAATTTGAGATAAAGAATTTCTAAATAGAGATAGCCATGCAGGAATGCAACTTCCAAGTCTTAAGAATACACACATGCAATTAGAGCAGCACTGCAGGTTTTTGTGTCAACGTATTAGTGAACACACAACACAAGAAACATCAAAGAACTGTTGAAGAGATTTTAAGTGGTGATCTTGGCCACTTGTGTATGATATGACGTTGGGAAACTGCAAATAAATTCAGAAAGGAGGAGGATGATTTAGCCTTGGGAGACCAGCTGGATCTGAACACTGGCAGAGGAGAGTGAAAAGCTTGCCTCTCAGTGGCTGGAAGGAGGAATAAGTGGCATTCTTCTGATTCTTTTAGACTCGGCATGAAGAGAGAATCAAATCTGACCATGTGGTTCTGGTTGATAAGGAATGCAATAGTTATCAAGACAGAAGGAAGCTTTAGAATAAACATTCCTTTTTTCCACTCCCCTTCCCTTTTCTTCCATTGTTCTCCTCTCAAATACCACTTTATTTACTTTTGCTACCTCTGAAATTGTTTTCTTCATTCATTTACTTCTTTTCCTAATCCCATATTTCATACAGTCTGTCAAGGCTACGTAGTCCCTAGAGCCTTGACAGGCATTTCAGATGAGCCTCTACTGTTTACATGTATTTTTGCTGATACAAGTTCCTTCAGGTACTTACTGAGTACAATGCATGCTTTTGTTATTTTATCCATTATGTTTTGTAACTTCTTTTTTTTCTTCCCTTCTTATGCCTTAGTTATATCCTTTCTAAAACTTAGACCACATTAAATATGAGTGAGAACAGAGCCTTAATCTATTCTAAAAGTTATATTAAAAACCCGTGATTCCTTGCATGTATTTGCAAAGGTTTATATTTACAAAGCAGCTTAGCATGCTAATTTACTACTAAGGTTCATTGTTCTCATTGTTTCATTACCCTGGCTGGAGGACCAGACACTTGTCTAATTTATTCATCTGTTGTACCATGTCCAGTTAGTGAATTTGTAATCCTAGCAAAGGCTGTCAAGTGGGACAAAAAATAAACTAGATTTGTCTTCATGAAGTAGTAAAGAACAACTTTATGAAACCTTTTTCACCTAAAAGACTACTAAATGTAATGATCTGCTTGTAGTGCATAGCTGTGTTTACTTCCAGACATGCTGAAGTTTACCTAGAGGAACCTCAGCAGCTCTGAAAGGCAGCTAATTGTCTCTGTGTTTTAAAGGTAAATAAACTGACATAGGGTGAGCAACTACCTTACAGAAATTGATAGTGAATTTTGAATTTCTATGAAGAATAGAGAAACCCCTGTAGAGTTTGAAGGCTCTCAAGGTAACAGTGATTCTCTGACTGTTTTCAGAATGGTAGCGGGAAATGCTAGAGAATTGGTATTACTATGATTGGTGAGACAGGTTGATAAATTTTTCATTTTTTGGCCAAGCATAATACTTGAAGCTAACTTCCATGTGTTAGCGTTTTCATTCTTAGGATTACTTGCAGGCTAGGAAGAAGCAGCAAGCTTGTGAGAAAAAATATTTCCAGCTCAGTTTTCTTCCAGTATACTTCACAGTCATTCAGTGGTTTAAGATATGCATTTCAGTATAGGATGGCTAGGTGGCACCTGGAGCTGTCCAGAATTTCTTGTTACAGCTGCAGCAATGCTGCTTTATATGCTTATACCTGTCAGTAGCAAAAAATAAATATAGAAAGCAGACAATTCAAAACACTGGAATTAAAAAAAAAAAAAAAAAAAAAAAAAGAAAAAGAAAAAGAAAAGCAGCATCTTAATTGTTAGAGTCATGTTTGTAGTCCAGGGAATCTCGTAGTGGTTTTACCATTCTTCTCAGCCACATGTTACTCTCATGTCTTCTTGTGCTGTCCTAATGCTCAGGCTCTGACATGATGGTATATCCTAGATATTAGTATATTTTCTGGAAAAAAAAAAAAACAACTGACTTGCATTTTTGACTGTCTAAGCAGAGCAAAGGTCTAGAGATGAAGTAGACACTGGAGGTGGAGACAGAGATGTATGGCCATGGAATCATAGAATATCTGAGTTGGAAGGAACCCACAAGGATCATCGAGTCCATGTCCTTGGTAACCAAAGGACCACCCAAAATAACAATAATAAAAATCAAAAAGGGTAAAGACAGAAAGTTCAGAAAACAGAGGTGAAACGTATAAGCAAAATTCAAAGAGGAGATGGAATATGATGACTGTCAGGCAAAGCAAACGATAGTTCCAGAAACTTCATGGATACACTGGAGAACAAGACAAGGATTTCAGGAAGAGGAGGCAGTGAGATGGATTAATTTTTGCCAATGTGGTGGAGAGCAATTAATGCCTTAATGATTTATTTTTTTTTTATAACAGCCTATATTCCAAAGTCTGGCCCTTGGAAATTGGTTTGTGCTGTAGGTTGTGCTGATTATTCCTAGAGATTTGCTGAGGCAGGAGTAGGAAAATATTTTTTAGCGCCAGTCAGTCCTGCAAATAAGTGTTATAGCACCACCATGTAATTAATGCCAAATGTGTCATCATGCCTTAGTCATTGAAAGGAATTTAGGAGGGATGCCTGCTTTCTCAGTGAATGCTGAGAACAGTTAAATTATGTTAACAATAACTCCTCCTTCAATATTGTGACAAAGGGAATAGAATATATATTAAACTTGACTCAAAAAAGGAGGAGAGGGAAGGGAAGGGAAGGGAAGGGAAGGGAAGGGAAGGGAAGGGAAGGGAAGGGAAGGGAAGGGAAGGGAAGGGAAGGGAAGGGAAGGGAAGGGAAGGGAAGGGAAGGGAAGGGAAGGGAAGGGAAGGGAAGGGAAGGGAAGGGAAGGGAAGGGAAGGGAAGGGAAGGGAAGGGAAGGGAAGGGAAGGGAAGGGAAGGGAAGGGAAGGGAAGGGAAGGGAAGGGAAGGGAAGGGGGTCCACTGTAGCGAAACCTTCTCCAACTGAATATATTTACTCTTTTAGACCTGCTCTAAGGTAGTGAAGTACAAGCAGTTGTACAGCCTTATGTCAGTTTGCACAAGCTTTGTCTTCATGGAAATTTCTAAGGTGGTAACATAAAAGGGCTGTGCTATATGGAAATTTTTGTTACATATATCACATCAGTCTGATGTGGGCACATCATCTTTAGACCTAAAGAGTAAGCCTATTTATTAATGCTGCATCCCTCCAAGCTGTTGTCCCTCAAAGTGATGACTCACTCATTGCACTCAATGATTCTTAGAAACTGCAGCAACGTATGAGTAGCGTGTTGCATTTTCTTTGTTGTGCTTATTGCTTTAAATGTGACGTTTTATTCTGTGAAAGCACCTGGAGCCTGAGACTGGACTGACCAAATTAGTGAGCTCATGCAGTGAAGTTAACCTAGCCAAATGAGAAGTGAACATAAATATCTTTAAAGCTTTTCTCCTTGCAAAGTTATAGAATGTTTGTTTCAAGTGTCCAAAAAGCAGAACTGAGGGGGTTTTGTGCAATTTCTGTGTGTACTTTTCAGTTCATTCATTTATCTGTAGATCTGTTGACACTGAATTCCTACGTTACTCTTACATTAAGTCAATTTTTATGCAGTTTGGTTTCTTGTACTTATGAGTACATCGTCTGTCTTTTCTTCTTCTGAAAAAAGGAAGTCATTCTTAAGGAGTCATTTTGTGAGACCTGGCCATTCTGAAAAGTAAGAATAAAAACAGAAGACATGCAGACTCTGAATCGTATTGGTTTTCTTTCTGTTTTTCTATTTAAATGTTCACTTTTATGTCAAAATCAAATATTCTCAAAGTTGCAGAAGAAAGGAATATAAATAACGTAATTAGCTTTTTTAAAGGTTGTTTAAAAATGTTGTCATCAATGTCGTACAATGATTAGTATGCACGCTGAACAAACTAACAATTTGAAAACCCACAATCTCATTAATTTTTGGTAAAACTCCTGTCAGTTGCTGATCTGTCCCTGGAGTAATTCACTAACAGGCCTCTCCATTTTGCAGATTGTTTTACTCCAGGATTGTTCAACATCCTAAACTGCTTTTAGTAACAATAAACGAAGTCTAGTGCAAGCAGTATCTCCTGTTAAATAGTTCAGGTATGCTAATGTAAATATTTTGTTAATTGCTTTTTTGTTGTTTTTTGTTTGTTTTTGTTTTTCATGTAAGGGATTGAACTGTAGTTTATCCACTAGTTGTGTAATATCTATCAACTAGTACCACTCCTGCATGTACCTTCTTTATTTTACTTCCAGATTCTGGAATAATATTACCCTGGACTAACTAATTTATGATCTAGACAGTTATCCTGCTGGTGTCTGTAATTGTACAAAGTCCAGCTGACACAGGTGGAGGGGCGATAGGGCCAGCAAATTGTACTGTGCAGCTGCAAGAGAGCCATGTGGGAGAGGAATTGACAGGAGGTGATTTGGTACAGGTTTTGAAATCATGATCAAATATCTGGGAAGTGCCAATAGGTGATGATACAGGGTCAGAGAAAAAAAGGGTTTTTAGAGACTTATCTGCAATAGTGTTTTGGCTTGAAGTCATAACATGGTTTAGAAGCAAATCCCAGTGCATTGGATTGATTTGCAGAATAGTTTTGGCATATGTGAGCTAGGCTTTTCCTGGAGAAATCTAAACAAACGACTTCACAGTGGGTTTGCACTGCGTTTGCTTCAAGCCCCGATGAGGACATTGCAGCCTGTACCATTGACTGGTCCTTTGGCTGATGTAAAACCACATGTGTGGGAGATATTTAATCTGGGGACCAGACCAAATCTAATCCAAAGTGAAACCCTAGAAAAACAGGTTGTGGAGGCATAAAGGCCTGAGAACAAATTGTTTTGCTCTACTGATGCATTCCTATTGTGCTTGTATTACTTGCTAATGTGGACATAACATCTGTTGACAAACTGGCAATTCTTCAATTCTATTTTTATGTTTTATTCTAAGAATTACTCCAAACCCCTGTTTTAGTGCTTTCTGGTAGCAAAGCAACAGCTACATCTGTTTCTGCAGACCAGATTAACCACCCACTTTCTCTTTAGCAGGAAGTCTCCAGCAGAAAGATTTGAGTCCTCCACCCAACCATAGATCGGGAAAGGACACACCAAACCTGCCCTAAGTTCCCGGACTTAAGTGTTTGGAAATTTCACTCTCGGAAAGATTAACAGCGCAAAGACACAATGGAACCGGGTCATCCTCGCGATTCCCATACGTATCACTCATTCCCATGCTCATCATTCCATTTTCCGTCACATTTAAGGGAACAAAATACTGCTAGGCAGAAATCAATCTGTCCACACAGGAGCTATTTTTAAAGCTGTGTTTCGAATAGCACATGCTTTTTCCTGAAATGTGCTCAAAGATGATTGTTCGTGTGACAGAGTGGTGTGTGTACACGTCATTTCTGATGGAGGTTTCAGAGTTCAGAGAAAACAGGAGTTGTTCAGGATCTAGCACTTACTAAAACGGTCACTATGCCATCATTTGAACCTTTAAAACTTTGGTGTATATAACAGGAAATAATGCTTAAATCTGGGGAAAGCAACAGGCAGTTAGAGCTTTTGTATCTGGGAAGGATTTCCCTATTTTATATGTGCTTGTAAGCATGGCATAAATTGTACCGAAACCTGTGGGGCAGTTGTAATGATTTGCATGTCTGAGAATTTTCCACAGTGACAAAAATAGCAGGAATTTTATTTTTAAAACTTTTATAAAGTGGTACCTAATCTGATTGCAGGGGCAGCTTCTATTTCTACCCACTGCATTCATGTCTGTTAAACTGTAACATTCCCCAGTCAGATGTGTAACATTGCTTCTGCTTTTCAAGGCCAAATAAATCATAAAGGGAGGGCATAACAACTGGGTCTCAAGAGGATGACTTTCTTTCTTTCTTTCTTTCTTTCTTTCTTTCTTTCTTTCTTTCTTTCTTTCTTTCTTTCTTTCTTTCTTTCTTTCTTTCTTTCTTTCTTTCTTTCTTTCTTTCTTTCTTTCTTTCCTATTTCAAAGAAAATGAGCAATTTCTAATCTTATTCACAAAATTAATCTGGATGTAGGATCTGTTTGCATCAGAACAACACTGGTGTGAGCAGAAGTTCCAACTTAAATTTTATTTCCTTCTGAGATTACTAATTGAAATACTTGAGAATATGCTGTCTATTGTCATCAAAACTAGTTTTCATTTCTAGTTTTAATGAAATATAATGAAACATAACTAGTTTTAATGAAAATAGCTGCAGAAACAAGTCTGAAAACACATGCTATTTGCCATCTGCTATATTCTCATCCTTGAACTCATGGCTCACAGCTATTTTCTAGTAGTGTTATACATTTATTAAGATTTTACCTTTTTCTCTGGCTACTGCAGAAGAAAAACAAACTGGCCAAACCTCTCTGGGTGACAGACAAGAGCAGCATGAAGAAAAGGGAATGTATGAAATGAATGCCCTGGACTGGGGAAATCAACAGATTGCCCAGAATCACACCTGAGACAAAAACACATCATGGGACAACAGAAGGTCTGAAACTCTGCTGCAGTTGAGTTTTACTCAGGATATTTTTATTTATTTATTTTTAGTTCAGTTTTCATACATATATTGTAAGAAACTTATGTCAATGAGGATTGCTGTGGAAAAGCAATTGCCTGCAGAACCATCTGTTTTTCTATTTGCCATCTATGTAGAAAGTGAAATTAAACTTATCTTTTTTTTTTCTTTCTGAATACATATTTCATTACCCAGTGACACAAGTACTTCTAGCCTTTAAAACCTGCTTCTTTGTGGTTTTAGATTAATTTCAACAAGAAACCAATTTACTTATTGATTAAAGACTCTTATAAAGCAGGATTTCTTTGAGTTTTGCCATCTTGGACCCTAACACCTCATACAGCATGATGCTTGTAACAAGTATGGAATGGAAGTAAATTATAATTTGAATTTCAAGGCCATAAGTTTGTTTTCTTCCTAGGCACCTGTTGTTCCTTGGCACTGCTGGTCCCACCAAGCCAGAATGCAAGTTTAGAAAGATTTGAGATTTCTTTAAAAAGAAATCTAAGAAGCCTAACCATTGTGTAATGATGTATGCATGGTGATGGAAGACGTGATGCTACTGGGAAAATAATTAGTTCTTTTAGTCCTCTCATAATTAGGTTTGCAGCCTTCAGGGAAGAGCTATGGTAAGAAAATAGAGAAGTGTTTCTAGAAGAAGGAGGGGAAAAAAAAACAACCTTGAAACTCTTTCAAAAGTGTGGACACAGGAAAAATAACTATTAAATTATGAGCTTAATTAATATCTAAATATAAATGCTAACCTGGCCTCTATCTACAGTCTAAAAACTCACTTTCCCATATTTTGTGTGCTGATAGGAACTGGAGACAGTTTGCCGAATGGACCTTGAAAGCTACCAAAAACGCCACCCTCGCTTTCGTGATGTGCTTCCATGTGGAAGCAAAAAAAACTGCTCGGTAAAAATCACATCATGATGATGTCCAACCTATACACCTAAAGCTGGGCACAGAAAGATGAGAAGACCCAGTAGTTCCGTTACAGGGGTTTCTGTTCACACAGATCTGTTTCAGAGGATTTGAGCAAGCCAAGGAAAGACTGATTAGCCCAGGGTGTGGTGCAGAGCACTAAGGTTTGCGTGGTTCCAGTAGACCAGGGTCAGCAGCCTTGCAAGCTTGCCAGGCAGTATTTTCCTTTCCCAAATTAGTAGTTGAGTGTGCCAGTAGAAGGTTTCCTGGTTAATTCTGAACTGTAAATTGAGGGAGAGCCAGGTGCCCTGCCTTCCTCCAGAGCCAGAGAGATATCAGTAAGCCCGTAGTATCGCAGTGCCACCAGCTCAGCAGGAGCCCTGAACCCCTGGGTGCCATACGAGGAATGTGTCAGCCGCTCTTTGGTCAGCGTATTCCAGAAGTCAGACTTCTGTTGCAGCATCTGGGTTTACACAGAAAGTTTTGCTTTTCTGAAATCTAGCTGATTTAAAAAGCAATAATGCTGTGGGTGGGTGTAACACCAAGAAGGGTACATGTATGCCATAGCCAAAAGTACTTTCTCACTTTGAGACATCCTTCAAGTACAAAAAAGAAGCAAATTAATTCTGATACTCCTCTACTCTTGGATTGAGACATCAGCAAAGTTTCTTTTTCAGTTCATGTTTATAAGTCATTCAGTATTCATGTGACAGAAATTCTCAGCCCAGTCGCTGTCAGGCACTCGTATTTGTTTTGTACGTGCATAAAATGATAGCTCACAGCATTTGGGGGTATGGAATAAATGTTACGTGTTGCATTGCTGTAGTCTGCTTCTAATATTAGAACAGAATGAGCAGCTCACTTCCTGGAGGCATCGGCAAGCTTTATTTGCAAATTTTTTTCAGTGGTATCAGACATGTGGAATAAATTATCATAAATTGCTTGTGATTAAATGTAAAGTACCAGGGTGATTTGCAATAGTTAATCCTTTAATTTCTGGGGTCTGTGAAGAGCAAATTAAGCTGAAGACTGATACATGACTGGTTTTCATTAAAACTAATGCTCTTATATTATAGTATTGTTTTGTTTAATTATGGGACATAATTTCAGAAATTATAAGTTATAGGAATAAGGCAGTTAGCAATGTATACTGAACTCTAACTACTGTTATTCTGTATAAGCCACAAGTAGCAAAAATAACATTAGAAACATAAAGACTTCGTCAGCATTCCATAATATACTCTTACTTTGTGCTAATATATTGCATGGCTATGGCCAGGAACAGAGTTTCCCCCTAAATTCCGCTGAAAGGTAATCTACTTACATCCATTTTGATATCAGTAAAGTTCTGTGGGGAGACAGTTTGCTTTCTCTATAACTAAAATAGATGAATTTCTGGCATTTGGAAGGATTTCCTGAGAAATGTGAGTTTATGTCCAAAAAAAAAAAAAATAAAAATGGGGGGGGGGAGGGGAAGGGAGGAGGAGGAATCAGTCAACAACCTGAAGTTATATTTTGATAGCATGCAGAAGGCATTACTCTCTTTTCTGGGAACCTGGTCTCCTTTAATACTTTATAAAAGCACTGCTGCTTGCAAATAAGTAAGTCCTTCTGTAACATTAATAACAATAATATGACTTTATCTGAAAATGGCTCACCGGAACTGTTATGGGTTGTATGGCATAGAGTGAGACACAAAAGAGACCAGTACAAGCTGTACAGAGTGGCAATTATGTGCTGTGGTGTTCTTGGGCAGGCACTGGTTTATTCAGATGTCAGAACATCTATTTCATTATTATTATTATTATTATTATTATCATCATCATTATTATTAAAGTTTTATCTGTCTTTCACTTCCAAATATCATGAATTAGCAATAATTCCTCATTGGCCATCTCTGCATTTTAGTTGTTGCTTGTTTTGGGGGAGAGACAGCTGAACAAAGTAGGAGAAGAACCAGAGAATAGCTGCTCAGTGATGTACTACTTAAACTGTCCTTGTTTTACTAAATAGGGCTATTTTGTGCTCTGTTCTTGCTACTGAGAAGTGAAACCCTGAAGTAATCCCTCTGCAGTTTATTTAAAATAAATTCACTGCATTGTTACTGCTTACAATGCTGAAATGTGAGTTAAAGATGAACAAAAAGAGAAAGCATAGAAAAGTAAATGAGCTTAGTTTCTCATTTAGTTCTTTCTCCTCCTCCTCCTTTTAGCTATCTACCAAAGGAGCAGTCCCCTGTGGTGTTTGGGATGCAAATGCAGCTGTGTCTTGAGATTCGGACAAGAGATGCTATCGAGATAGAGTTCTTCAGGGCCAGAGCAGGGAATTCTGAATTGCTGTCCAGTCATGTTGGCTAACCATGTTTTTGTTTTCCTATAGTCCCTGTAGAGACCCTGTTTAATGTATTATCTATATGGCTATGAGAGTCTGGAGCTAAACCTCTAAGCATGTGGTTCTATGAGGCACAAGGTGAGCTGATCTGGAAGGGGCTGATCTTGTTCCTTTTCTCCCAGCTAACCGCTCCCAGCACTTACCTTGACAGACTGCTCTGTGAGCCACTTCAACATGTTCAGCCAGCATGAAAAGGGCTGGATTTTCTTGAGTTACTAAACTGAGCTGTTCTGTGCAAATATTTGATTAGTGTCGTCTTTGGTGCAAGGAGCTAGGAAGGGACAGAGAAGGGAGGTTTGGCACAGGAAAAAAATGGAAGCAATTCATTCCCTTTTTTGCTAGTTTTGCTCAGATTCTTGTAGAACTGCGTTGTAAGATACAGCTCCTATTTCTTTGTTTTTGTTTTAATTTGGTAGTTTTGATTTGGTTTTGTTCATTTGTTTTTATTGAGGAGGAAAATAATTCAGATAGCTGGAAAACACTGTTTGTAAAAAAGAAAACAAAAGGTAGCTTTGGGTTGGTATATGTGCCTCTTGATTGTCCTGTGTATGATAAACATTCTTTTTAAATTGGTGCCAAGCTAAGCAAAGTCTTTTATTCAACTCAATGGCATATCTGTGTGTGCCATGATACCTTTGAATCACTGCCTTCCTTATCAAAGGATCAGAAGTCTGGCATAGAAAATGGGGAGAAAGTGTGCCCACATCCTTCTTGACAAGGGAGAAAACTGGGATTGCAGGGAATTTCTGAGCTGGGTTCTGGTTGGTCAGATTTCTCTGTATATGTCATCTTTTTCCATCTGGAAATTTGTTTGTAGAAAGAATCTGAGTCTTTGTCTGTTCAGGATTTATGGATGTTCAGTAGATTAGGCAGAGACACTGCACAGCTTGGAGATTCCAGATACGTTTATGTTGTGTTCACAACAAACGCATAGCACATTTGTAGAGTCAGATGGGTTTTTGGGCTTCATCACAGAAGCCTTCTGTGGAGCTAATATGGGTTTTCTTGGTAATTCCAACATGATCCAGAAACACTGGGGCTACATGTTTTATAGTAAGCATGAATCTTTCACTCCATGAAATCTTTCAAAATTTGACAGCCAAACCATGCTGTAGAGAATTGTGGGAGTGTGGCATGCCGGGGATAGGAAAGAGTGGAAACAAAACTGGTAGTATCAGTATGTGCAGTGAGCCTGGCCAATGCACAAAACATAAAACACGCCACATTTTTAAGCAGAACTCTCCAGGGGTATGTTGAAGACTGTGAACATCAACATAAAGCAGCTTTTCCTGGAAGGTAGGGTATTTTCTGCCTTTCCACAAATTCTGTCCACTTTGCATGTTGCTTCTTTTCAGCAGGTGCAACATGTTCTCAAGCACTAGTACGCATTTCTGGGCATATCTTAAAGATTTTGCTGTGCAGAGTTTCTATTCCATGGCACTTCACACATCCTTCCACCCAGGTCCCACCCTCTCTTATTGTTGAAGGTGGTACATAATCGGTGGCAGTCTCCTTCGGTCAGATGGGTGTGCTAACAGGCTAAAGACAACAGGCAAAGGAAATATAATTTGGAGGCTTTGAGGTCCCCAGGGCTATGACTCAGGTTTGGGACAGGGTGCAAGGAACTGCTTTATTTGGTATCTGTTGCCTTCTCAAGTGCGGTGTCATTGTTAAAAGTGAAAGACTGATGTGCTCAATCCTTTTCTCCTTGTTTTTAAGGGCGAGGTATGTGGATCATACTCCTGTTAAACAAACACAGTCATACAAGGTTTTCCATATTCTAGAAGTAACTTGGCAAAGGCTGAGGAATTCCGAGCTAAGGCTGCTGTTGCAGATGTAATTAACTCCAGTGCCATTACATGTAATAGAGCTACAGAGTTCCATATGGGCCATTCGGTGCCTGGCCAGTTCCATGTACTGGGTTCAAAGTACTAGTTCAAGCGTTCTTATTTAGCAGGGGACTATATAAATACCTCAACCATGTGAACAGTTTCTAAGAATGTGGCTATTACGTGATAGCAAAGCAGAACTGGGAGCTAACTAACTAAGAGGGAGCTAACCTAATGTTGCATAATGTGGCATGAGAAGAATAATCATAGTAAAATGTTTATTATCCTCTGACCTAGCACTGATTTGCAGAAGTAGTCTTGCTGATGGTTCTTAACAGAGATTTCTGTGGTGCCTAAAACTGTTTCTTCCATCAGATACCACAAGCTCTAAGTTTTAGGTTATCTAAAAGACTGCTTTACTTGATTCAGTTTCAGGTTATTTTATAATGAAGGAGAGAAGAGCTAATTAACAAAGCAATATTCTGTGGTTTTCTAGCCCGTGGCTGTTATGAGAGGTAAATCACTTACATCAGCGTGCTAATATGCATTGTACAGTTTGTAACCCACAATGACTTCAATAAATACATTTTAGCTTGCATCCTGCACTGTAGTCAGGGCTGAGATTTGCTAGTATTAACACACCACATGTGTTGCTGTTATTAATTGTGAGCAGGAGCTACTAAACAGCGGTAACAGGGACGGTGCATTCAGTGTCGTATACTGCTCGCATGCACTACTGATCAAAATGGAATACTGGGAATGCTGCATTTCAACAGAGCCCGGCAGGAAGGATTAACTGGGACAAGCACTGAATTGCACTTGACCTTGGATGTTTCTGAAATATACTGGTAAGAGAAGGTAAATATTGAACGTGAAGGACATCCTGATCCTTTTATGTAAGCCCACTATATAGCAGGAAGGGGGGGAAGTTACTTTTACTTTTTGTGAATGCCTGAGGATCTGAGCATGCTCTGTCGAAGCAGGATACAGAGCAGACTGCAGCTCTGTTCTGTGTCTGTTAAGGAAACGAGCCCCACCTCAGCTAAAATGGGCAAAACATCCTTGGTAAACAGAGCATTGGGCAGAGCTTACACAATTAGCAATTACTCCATAAAACCCAGGCTGGCCACTGCCCAACTTTAACTGAACTTTTATCCTCCCACAACATTTTGTTTAGAAACTATTTTTACTTTTAAACAATAATACTCACTAGCAACACCCATCCTGGAGGACATGGACTGCTCTGACAGCCATCCCGACTCCTGCTTAAATTAGGAACAGCAAATGCCCTCTCTCCTAGCAGAAATGATGAAAAGGCTATGGCTAGTACTTATTGTCCTATACATCTTCATTAATGAAAGGCAAACAAATTGCTCCTACAATGCTGTATTGTTAAACTCTGTCCTGCACAAAGGGCTCCTTACAGTTGTTGTGACAATACATTTTTCATGACGGAAAGCAAATATGTTAGAAAGCTGTCAAGCAGCAAACAGGGTGAGTCTCCTGAAATCATCTCTGTGCTTAGATCAGATTCAAACTGCATACCAGAGACAAAAAGTGTTTTGCTGATTCCGGTTTATGTAAGCAAGATTATACCTTAGCTTCCTTTCATCTCTGAATCTCATTTTGTAATTTGACTGAAAAATTCAAGCCTGTAGTGCTCTGCCACTTCCAATAATGGCTTAGAGCAGCTCCTGGGGGTGGAAAGAAGTGCTAGCAAATAAATGCTTGCTCTGTAACAGTTCTGGAGTTCAGAGTAGCTGGGAACTTGCCCAGCATTACTTGAAACAATATTAACCACTGGTGGCTCCCCAGACCAAGTACCTCTTGTACCAGCATACTAAGCTCTTAGTGCAGAGGCTTCCCAGGACTATTAACTGCCTGGTTACACTCTAAGTCCAATTCTAGTGCATCCTCTTTTTGAAAATAGAATCAAGAGCACCCTGCATCAATAGGAAGTGATGTAGA